CAGAGAGAGAGAGAGAGAGATTATCTTCGAAATCGTCAACAATTTTGAGAAGAGAGAAAAAGGGTACAAATGCCCCCATCGAGACATCTTGGAATCCCTTTTCATATAAAATGATAGATAAGAGCTCGTGCACAAAGCAACCTGTTAAAGGTTGATATCCTATACACTCATGCACATGGGACTAGTCTTTTCAATATGAGGTGGATAATTAGAAGCACATGTATTTCTGAATGCATTAATTGTGAATTGAATTTTTGGGAAATATTTTTCTTCTTCAAATAAGATGTACTTAAGAAAGAGAGTTGTCTATGTCAGATTATGTTGGGAGGTCACTAAAAAATCTGGTTATTGTATGAGTGAAAGAAACGCATAACGATTTAGTACTATAATTTTTTAGTTTAGAAGATGGGGTTTTCTAAACAATCAAGCTAAGTTTAAGCTTTCAAGTTTTGTGTTCTAGCGTCTCAAGTTGGCGTTCTTGGGATATTTACATTTAAACTATTTTCTTTAAGTGCGTTTTGTTGAACTTTTGGACATGAACATGTCTTTGACTTCGTTGACTAGAGGGCAAAGAAGTCTTTTGTTAACGCTCGTGTTTTTTTTCTCCTCACCATGTCAGCTCGATATTTTTCGGTTGTTGTGTACCATGTGGCAGGTTATTTTGATTGGGCATAAAATAACAATACAATGCTTGAATAAGCACAGCTTACACACAAGAATTAATGTTAGCATATTGTGTAAATGCTTGAATAGGCAACAAAAGAGTTGGATCGTTGTAATTAAATCACAGACTCATCCACTTGATAGAACTAATTTTGTTAGGTTGCTATACACTCGGCTGAACCTAAACACTTAGAAGTACTTTTTACAGTGCTGTTCTACTCTTAATGTTACATTGCACAAATTATTGATGTACTGTGTTGTAACTTGCTGAGGAAGAGGAGTAAGTGAACGAGCAATTAGACGACCCTTGTACGAGCAACTGAGCTGGGGTCACAGATGGGGATGAATTCGATGGAACTTTGGAGATTTTAGATGATATGCTGGCTGTCTTGTGGGATTCACTTACTGTAGTCTGCTCATGCCGGATTTCCTTTAATAAGGCCACGACGTCTTTCATTGTTGGGCGATCCTCTGCCCGGTTACTGGTGCAGAGTAGGGCTATTCCGAGGCCTTGGAGTATTTCTTGAATTTGTGTGTCTGGATTGCCTTGAAGCTTTTGATCAATGATATCAACAGGGTTCTTTCTACTCTTTAGGTGATCCCGAACCCATTGAATCACGTGTTGTTCATCAGGGAATGATGGGTCAACTGGTTTCTTTCCAGTTATGATTTCTAGCAACACGACTCCATAACTATAGACGTCGCTCTTCTCAGTAATTTTGACCATGCAAGCATATTCTACGACCAAAAGAAACAATTTTTAGTCTTTCATGCCAGATATAAACTTGGATTTAGACAAGTAACAGAAGTTATAGTTAATTTAAAATATACCAGGAGCAAAGTAGCCATATGATCCAGCAAATTGGGGGTTTGCTGAAAATGAAGCATTTTCTTCCTCGATGAACCTGGCAAGCCCAAAATCAGCCATACATGGTTCATACCGATCCCCCAAGAGAATGTTGTGTGCCTTGACGTCTCGGTGGAGGATCGGGGGCACACAGTCGTGGTGTAAGTAGGCTAAACCCTCTGCCACTCCTAGAGCAATATTGAAACGAGTTTCCCACTCGAGTACGCCTCCACATCCCTCGTGCAACAATGAACCTAATGTACCATTAGGCATGTAGTCGTAGAACAATAGCTTGGTGCTCCGGTTAGCTGCCCAACCTAATAGTCTAACGATGTTCCGGTGTCGAATGCGAGCTAACGTTGTAATCTCAGACGAAAATGTCGATGCAGAGCACTTTTCCGATACCCGGAATCTTTTTACAGCAATAACTAATCCTGATGGAATGTTTGCTCGATAAACTATGCCCGATCGACCGCGACCAATCACATTGACAGCTGTCAAGCACTTGGTCACATCAACAATTGAGAAATCAAGCTTTTGGTACACTGTGACCTCCCATGGCGGGCCTAACTCCACATCGCCGACGCTGTCCAAATCAGAATTGTGGGCACCACGTCCCCGCATTTTGCCTCCGAGGATAATGTAGAGTGCAGCCAATAGTAGGACGCATGCAGTACTGAGCAACACCACCATTGCCACCCTGGCCGCGTGTTTAGTGGCGCCAACCTTGTCGGCAGAGCACGCATTACCCGAAAAGCACAGCTCGGGATTGCCAGCTAGAACGCTAAGTGGCAGCTTGGCGAAGAATGACGTCTCAGGCACATGTCCCGAGAACTGATTATTTGACACATTCAACACCACAAGATTTTGAAGTTCAGCCAGATAATGAAGGTCTCCATATAGCTGGTTGTGAGAAAGGTCCAAAACTCCAAGCTTATCCAAAGCGGTAAACGCTGATGGGATCTCACCGGAAAGTTTATTCCAGCTCAAATTCAGAGCAATCTCCAAGGCCGGAATCTTCCCCAAACTCGACGGAATCTGTCCCTCGAGCCCATTGCTACTTAAATCAAGTAACTGAAGCCGGGAACACGAACCGAGTTGGGTTGGGATAGAACCAGATAACCTGTTCTTTCCAAGGATAAGCTTTGTCAGTGAACTCAATGAGCCAAGACTCGGATTTAGCGTACCTTCAACGAAATTCTCAGATACATCCAAGAACTGGAGAGTGGCTAGCTGGTTCAAATTCCCTGGCAACTGTCCAGAGAGAGAATTTGAATGCAGATCAAGAAACGTCAGATTTTGGCATCCAGCGATCTCCAACGGTATAATTCCGGTTAACCGGTTTGAAGCGAGGTCCAAGAAATTTATATTCTTCAACCTCCCGATTTCTGGCGGAACTTGCCCCGTAAGCATATTACTACTGGCCCGGAATCGAATCAGGGATGAACAGTTCCCGATTTCCGGCGGTATGTTGCCGGAAAGATTGTTAGATAATAGTAAAAGCTTGTTCAGTTTCTGTAATTCAAAAACACCTTTTGGAATTGGACCCGTCAATGAATTCTGTGACATATCAATCGCCTCCAACTTATGACATGCAGATAAAGATGGCGGAATATCACCCTCCAGGCTATTTTGCCACAAGAATAACAGCGTCAGGTTTGGCAGATTCCCAAATTCTGATGGAATAGTACCTGTGATTTGATTGTTGTCAAGTTCGATGTGAGTGAGGGCATTACAATTCCCAAGTTGTGAGGGAATTTTGCCCGATATTTGATTTACACTCAGCTGCAGCTCTTGTAATGAGGCCAGGTTCCCAAAAGTCTCAGGGATGCTGCCGGTTAACGAATTCATGGAAATGTCAATTACGAGCAGTTGATGGCAGTTTCCAAGCTCGGGAGGAATGGTTCCCACCAAATTGTTTTGCCAGAGAAGTAGGTTTTGTAGATTACGAAGGTTACCAAGATTTGTCGGGATTGAGCCGGTAAGGGAGTTTTCATAGAGGTAGATGTTTTCCAGGGCGATGCAGGCGCCTAATTCAGGTGGAATTTGGCCGGAGAGAAGTGTGGTGTAGACGGCAATGGTCTTGAGATTTCGCAAGAGGCCGAGGGACGGAGGGAGGAATCCTGAAATGCTGGTTTCGGCCAGGCCTAACATGATCAAATTGGTGCAATTGCCAATTTCCTGTGGGATTGAGCCTGCCAGGTTTTTGTTACCTCCAGCTCTAATAACTTCAAGCTTTTTCAGGCTGCCAATGCTGCCTGGAATTGGTCCACTGAGTTGATTATCATAGATAATCAACGACATCAGGGACGTTAAATTCCCAATCGCAGCCGGAATAGATCCTTCCAGTCTATTCGTGTTCAAAAGAAGTTGTTCTAGCTTGGGCAAGTGACAAATCTCATCTGGAATTTCACCTGTCAATGCATTGTCACTCAAATCCAAGTACGTCAGTTCTTGAAGAATTCCAATCTCCTCCGGAATTGATCCTGACAAGTTTGTCTCGGACAAGACTAGCTTCTTCAACGACGCCAAAGAACTGAAATTACTCGGAACATTTCCAAGTAAGTCCATATACTTCAAATTCAGCTCCACAACTTCTTTATTGAAGTTGCAAGCTAACCCGAACCATTCACAAGGGGTATCGTCTGTTGGATCCCAATTGCTTAATGCCTCGAGGGACCCCTTCAACGTCCTCTTCCACGCTATAAGCGCTTCCCCCTGTGGATTCAAACCCGAAACAGTTGATAAAACGAAAAAAATGAAAGCCCAGAAAAGGGTCCATGAATTAACAGGCATTAGACCTATGCTACAAATTCCAATGTGTGCAAACACAAATAATAGGAAGAAGATTTGAGCCTAGGGAGAAACAATTGGGAGATAAAGAAAATCATGTCATGTGGGCTATGGATTAAATTAAGGGTTTATATAATAAATTTAAAGAAACCAGAATCTCTGGATCCAAGAACAGCTAGGCCATTATGTTTTTGCAGAGAGAGATGGAATTTTAGATGGCTAATTTTTTGTATTCTTTTACAGTAGTGCGCAGACAGAGAAATGGCTGTTTTTGTATTAAAATGAGAAAGGTAGAGACAAGTGATGAAATGAATGACTAGTGAGTACTGAGTAGGCACTGGAAATTTTTTAGTATCAACTTTTATCACTTTGCATGTGACCTTTACATCCTTCGATCTTATAATTTTCTAAAATTTTATTGGGATTTATTTTCATATATATATATATATATAGTTTTTCTAATTTTTGCACTTCTATCACTGTCAGCCAATTACTATGGCGAAGCATGCTATATGCATAGCTGGGACTTGTCTTCATTGTAATTTTTCTTCAGTAAAACTTGTCTTCATTGCATTTTTTTTCCTTCGGTAACTAATAAGGAGGAAAAAAACAAGAGTTTTTATAAATAACGAATTTAGACAAGACTTGATTTGTCATGACAAGAAAGACTCGACATCATCCACATGAATTACCTCGCTTATTCTTTTTAGAACTAAAACTCTTAGATGAAGTAGTACGTATTCCGTAATACTTTGCAGTTCAATTTTGGTATCTTTCAAGAAAAATATCAAAAAGTATGAATTTGAATGCAAAAATGTGCAAGGACTAAATCACTTTGGATCTAGATCTAAATCAGCAGACCACAGAATAAATACAGTATTGGATAGATCTTTATGATCTTATTCTTGATCCATAGCTAGGCAGATCTATGACACCATTAGGAATCATATTTGATTCTTAAGTATGTGACATGTCATGATTTGCAGTGGAAAATGATAAAATTGGCTGCCCATTTGACTTATTGGTGATAAACAATAGCCGGGAACATTTATTAGTAAGGCCGTGGTTGGTTTGCTATTTTCAACCCATTTTTCGTTTTCCGTTTTCGAAAACGCGGAAAACGCGTTTGGTCCTTCATTTTCGAAAACGAGTTAAAATTTATAACTGAAAACGCAAAACGACTTTTTATTGTTTTCAGCGTTTTCAGTTATAAATGTCGAAAACGCTCAAAATACGGAAAACGGACCGTTTTCAGGGAAAATTAAAAATCGTTTTAAAAATAAAAATGCAAACCAACCACTACCTAACTTTTTAGAAGGAGTAATGGTGCGAACCACAAAACATGTGAATAATTATAAGAAGTGTAATACCCCTCATGGGGTGGTCGAGTTAGTGGAGTAGGTGAGTGCAGAGGCCTTTGGTCAAGAGTTCGATTCCTCCTACTAACACTTTCTCGGTCGAGCCTGTCACACCGGGTTTGCCTAGTACGGTTAACCTAACTGGTGTGGTTTATCCAGTGCGCACTCGAAGGGTAGCGGCTGCGAGTTCACCCGTCATTAAAAAAAATAATAAAAAATTATAAGATGTGTAGTTGAAATTAATATTTGAATTTTGACAAACTTATAAAAGTAAAATTGAAAGCTCATAAAATGTTTCCCCGAACATAGGCATAGGTATTTTCCCTAATAAATAAAACCAGCAATCACGTGATGTCGCGTGACAGAAGGCTAACATACTGATTTGTTTGATCCACATGTTGCTTGTCTCGTGACTTAGATATGAAATTGTTATTATTTTACTTAAATTATCTTGCAAGGATGTTTATTAGGAATCTAAGCAAGAGATGAGGGGTTGCACATGAGAGGGACAAGGAGAATATTATTGTTCAACGTCAAGACATTACGTGTTTGTGTATTAATTTTGACGACTAATATATAATATAATATACAGTGGCGGATCCAGAAAAAAATTTAACATGGGCTAATACATATAAAAAATAAAATATTGTACATAAAAAAAAAATTTACTTCATTTTTTTTAATGGACATTTGAGGCCGAAGGGCTGGGCTGTAGCCCGTCCCTGGATCCGCCGATGATAATATAATATAGAGTTAAATTAAAAAGTTCAATAAGTAAGATTTTATAATTTACTTTACTAAACAACTCATACATGTATGCGAGTTTAATATATGTGCTAACCTTATGTAGATTCGACTTGCATTCTCCGACAGGTACTCTTATGATGATACTTTTCGATGAATTTCATTTCATGTACCATTCTCATTAGGATTTTTGAAAATACTCTATGGCAGAAATTTTGATGAACAACATAGCAAAATTTTATATTTTTACTTTAAACTTGTCAAGTCGTGAGATAAGTTTTGAATAAGTTTAATCTTAATGACTTGGAGAATGAGAAAGAACACAACACATAAAAAGCATAAAAGTTACATATATAATGACAGGTAACAATCCTTCCAACTTGACGTGAGTACGAAGGTATGCCTCATATGAACATGGATCCTTGTTAGTTGTTACCACTAATATAATCAACTCCCATGCTGCCCATTTATAATTTTTCGCAAAACACAATACAAACAATATATTTAATTTATGGTATGGTCTTTCATGCGTATAATTATTTTAATGTGAATAAGTAAGAGTTAAGTTAGAGACACGTCTTGTATACATAGTTCAAATTAGAATTTAGTAATTAGACAATTAATTTGTGCAACCCTCGAAAGTTTTATACACCTTTTGAATAATTAAGGCTGGTTTGACATGATTTTTTGTTTCTTTTTAATTTTGGCTTTTTTGTTTTTTTGTTAGAAGGACTTTTTAAAAAAGTTACTTTAAGTCAATTCCTTCTAAAAGTTCTTCTAATTACGCACCATAAAAAATTATTAAAACAAATTCAAAAGTAACTTTTTAGTTTCAAAAACAGTATTGTCAAACGGGCCCTAAAATTCGATTATTAAGAAAAGTCAAACCTTTCTAAGAAAAATATACATGAGCTTACATGACATTAAGGAAAATCAATTCTTTACCCTCGTTGGATGCATTTAACGCAATAAGTCGTCTACCAAACAAGCCCCTATTTATTTTAGTTAAAAAAAAAAAAGGATAAAAATTTAATCAAAACAAACAATTAATTATAACCACACATTTCAAGGTACCCATAACTTTTATCAACTTTTCAATCATACATTTCATCAACTTTTATTAACATATACTAAAAATATATTTTAAGGAAAATTGCAGCCACGAAACTAAACCTATCATTTTTATGCAGATTTAACCTAAATCTTTCATTTGTGCCATTCACAATACTAAACATTTAAAAAAACTCGCATGGATTATTTGTTAATTTGACCGTTAATTATCCATAAAAATTAATGTTTGACCTCTTTTGACCAATTTAAAAAGGATAAAAAGGTACTTTTATATTATTCTACCTAAAATAATTATATTAATTAAATAAAATATCAAAAACATAAAAAAAAAAAAAAAATTGGTTCTTCTTCTTCCCACCATTCCATTCTTCCATCCCATCCCCACTCCCCAAAACCAAATCCAAAAGCTGCCACCACCTTCCACTGTAATCGTCGGCACCACCGCCTTAACCTCCAACCCCAAGGTCGGGTCAAAACCAGGTACAGCCAAATTCTTCAACCTGTTCTTCCTCTTGCACAAAATTATTGCCCATCGATAAAAGCCCGAGCTTGGCAATCAGCTAAGCCATAGCTCCAACCAAAAGCTAAGAAAAAAGAAAATGGAATTTGCTCAAATAAGACGGTGGAAACCACCGTGCAAAAACGTTGGCACATTTAGGGACCTAAATCTACCACAAATTAAGGATTTGTTTGGTAGTGATTATGAGAATTATTTTTTAACCGTTTGGATCCTACCTCTAGTGTGAAAGTAAAAAAGAATATTGAAATAGTGAAATAACAGTCAAAAAATTAATTGTTTGGGGTGAAAAATGGCTACCAAACAGGGGCTAAAGCTTGGGTCTCTACCTCCACAAATCCACCTCCATCTGTTCCACCCGTTGCAGAATCTAGGCCACACCCAAAAATGATACTTCAGTTGCCTTAAACAATTGCCTATTAACAGACTCATGACCAGACCCACACGACTTTATTACAATAAGCAATTTCAAATTGAGTTATAGAGAACTCACAGTCACCAAATTCATCTATTGTGGCAGAGTGTGGATGCCAAATAAACAGCAGAATACTAGAAGAGAACCCAATGCCCAATGCTTCTTTCCTGCTCAATTAATTTACTTGTACAAATTAAGAGTGACATTTATATTGTGGATTAGGGATTTTGATAGAAAACGATTAAACTGTGTGCAAGTTTAGAGTATATTCCGTTAATGAATGGTTTGTGGTTTGTGGGTGGAAGGAGTGATGACGCCTACGTGGGGTGGGTGGCGATGGTGTTACGTTGACCGTTGCTGCTGGTGGTTTTGGGGTAAGGGTGTTGGCAAAGAAGGGGATCATGGTGGATAGTGGATTTTGTGTTTGATTTTTGGCTTTTTTTTATTTAATTATTAACACATTATAATTGTTTTTTTTTTTTTTTTAATTTGAAAAAAGGTAAAGTTACAATTTTATCCTTTTAAAATTAATCAAAATTTTGGTCAAGGTCAAGTCTCTGATTAACTTAGGTCAAACTAACAAAAACCATCCACTTGAACTCTGGGTGTGAGTTTTTGAAAGTTTTGGTACTGTGAGTAGCACAAATGAAATATTTAGATCAAATCTACATAAAAGTGAAAGATTTGGTACCGTGACGGCAATTTTTCGTAAATTTTATAACAAAGCCAACTAGGGACATAATCAAAAGCATGCTCAGATCAACAATAGTAGAAACATTAACTTCTTAAAACTTTTTTAACCAAGATGAGTCTCGCCTAGATTTCTAAACTATGTGCATATTTGAAGAACCTTAAAATGTACCTTCTTTACCAACATCGTGCTCTATATAAACCTCATCTAAGTACATGGATATTATTCTCGTGTTGAGACATCCGCGATAGATATTGAAATCTAAATAATTATTCAAACCATTAGAATGTGATATAAAATTCAAATCCTATACTTGATAGTTTCCTTAACTAATTGTTTTGAGACACACCACGTGTTGGATGGAGCAACCCGCCAAGTCAACATGTAGAGGTTTTATCCTTCTAAAATCTCATGAATGCTTTCCAATTATTTCATCTTCCTCCTCACTAAATTGGCGACAAATTCAAAAGATTAGCTTAAAAATATTTATTAATGATTGATTAGTTCAAGATTTAAATGTATATATAAGAGCCAAAAAGGGGTGGGGTGGGGGTTAAGTATTTATAAAAACTAAACATGTGAAGACTTTTA